ATAGCTGTAAAAGGGTCATTGATATCCCGGTCTCATTAAGCGGAAAGTGTGTCACTACATGCCAAAAATTATTTTGCCATCCCAACGAGAACCACTCCGCAATCAGCGTTGCGTTGAGATGTTAATAGTTTCCCAGATGGCAAACTTGCTCGTGTTTGGGGAATTCACATAGAAAGCATTTGTAGACGATGTGTAATATTATCCCTTGCATCATCTCCACAGTGGCAAATCCAGCATTTAATGGAAGAAGAGGTAGGGTGCCAAAAAGTGAAGAGAAACCTGAACGGATGTGCGGGGTTTATTTGCTTAACTGGGTACAAAGTTCTTAAAGTGACAATAATAAGTTGACAGCCTAGCAGAACAAGGGGGAGGAGACAAGGCGTGCTTCTTAAAAGAAAAAACATTAACAATAGGTAGTCGCGTCAGATGAGCCTCTCTGGGTCCGTAAATGATATCAGATGCATTGATTGTCGGTCACGCTTGGCTCAGTGCTGGTGTGGACTTTGGTCCGTGGATGCAGTGTCGCCCGTCTCACTGGAATCTCAATTTCAACCTTCCCCTTGGCCTTAAGTGCAGTTAAACGAGCCTCGCGCCCAGGATAAATTGACAGCTTATTTATTAGAAAAATCACGCAAAATCTTGTATTTGTAAGAAAAGAAAGGTGCTCAGTATTTTGCATGGTTTTTCGGGGGGGGGGGTGTTATTGCATTTTTCTTTCCTTAGCACAAAGGCCTATTATTTGTCTGATTTTCAAAACGGTGTATGACATTACTGTTCCGGCTTAGAACGAACATGTTACACTTAATCTATGTGATTAATCCTCGTCCTTCCCAAAAATACTTGTATCGATTACCCCAATTCTATTCATACTCATTCTCTGTCTGCGTTTTCCCAAAGCCAAAATCTGTATAATCCTGGGTTTTACCAAGCCTTAATATTTCAAGGAAAAACACATGGATTTTATAGGAAAAAGTAACGAAAGGACTGAGGTCCACAGTACTCTCTATGCTGTATTATGTCTTATCATTGCACCATCGATACTTAATGCATTTAGCTGCCGTGATATCTCCTCATAACTGAATATATTGCAATCGACTTTTTTCACGTAGACCTTCGTGTAGCATAAACTGTAGTGCACTGTTTTCTTACTAGCTAATTGCATTTGAGGGATTTGTACCATCTTTTTTTATTGTTAGTTTTTAATTTCAGCTTTGTTGGTGGAAGATAAATGAATCGTATAAATGAATCAACTGAATTATTCTCATTTCCTTGAAAATGAATGGTATTTATCGCGTTGGCGTTTTGAGGTGTCTATCTTGCCTTTAGAATGCCGTGTACATGTAACAAAAACACCCTGCCCACGTAATATCCTGGTAGCCACTTCACAATTGAGCACTGTGAATTACAGACATTTTAATGTGTTTTGTCGCCATAAGCCGTAATGTGTAATACATGGCACACATAAGATCCCGTCCCAGTTCCATTCACGGATAAAAAGGACACCAGATGTGTTTGCCAGTCAGTGCGTAAGGCGGCCGTGAGTGGGAGGAACGGGGGCGCTCTTCCCACTGTTTGAGCGTGAGAGGCTCCGTGCCAAGCACATGAAACCAAAACCTTGCAAACCATCTCTTGAGAAGATTCACTCGAATTATCGCACTCTTTGCAAGGGGATGGGAAATGGGGAAAATTGATTGAAATACTGGGGGAAATCACCGTAATAATTCCAGTTTCACTGCTGCGCGATGACACAAGTCACTGATAGATAGATCTTAGCCGCTCTGCGAGCATGGTAGTCCACAGGGATGTCTTAATGAGATGGAACTAGGTCCGCTGATTACCCACAAGACCTAATTCCCTCTGTTCATTCTGTGAGAGCAATTAATGGCCCGTGACCACTGCAGGTCTCTGTAGGTCTTGTACCGTGTCCAGCAATTTGTTACACCAAACGGGCCATCACGCTTGGTCATCTCAGCCCGTTTCCTGTCGGGCGTGTTGGTGTCCTAGACTCCGCGGAAATTGGTTTCCCGAAGGCGCGGATGGCACCGGCATCTTCCGCGGACGCATGCGCCGCAACAGTAATGGCGGAGTCTAGTTAGGTGCTGTTTTGCCAGGAGTCTTAATGGATCAGCTCAGTGTAATGGAGGGTGTAAATTCGCATCCCTGGGCGGCTACCGCCGCGGAGGCATTTTCCCCTTTGATCGTTCCGAAATCTTCTATTGCACTGTATACGTGTTTGGGATGCCGAAAAAGCGTGTATTTTTTCGCTGATGTAACTATGAGCAATGCTCCGCAGTTGTCGGCTTTAGCCTGAACTCTGTTTTCCTTTCTGAAATTCAGGGCCACTAAATTGCCAAATGTAACTTCAGTGTACGATATTGTCATACACCTGCAATAATGCGACCATTAATTGAGAACCGTGTTCTCATTAAAAAGCAGTCTTCGTCATCGCCTAAGTTTGCTGATAAAAGTGTTAAGCTGCATTTTACCCAGCTTTTTTTTTTCCATTTTCATTGTCACACCTTGCGCAGCACAAGGTCGATTTTTACACATATTAGACACATGAGTCAAACATGCAATTGTAAAAAGGGTTAAGTGGAAAGGTAGAAAATTGGCTGTAAATTGCTTTTATCTGATTTAAAAGCAAGGTGAGCGTTTCTTTATCCCCTACAGAAGACATGCTACCTCGCCCACAAGACGCTTTTAATGTCATGTCCCAATGTAAAATGGCTTTGGATAGGGCCTACATGATTATCTGAGCATAGTAATTTTTCATGACTTTCAACCACAGGTACAAATGAGATTTACAGATGAATTGGTGCGATTATTCATTAAAATGGAAAGGAAAATTGAAGAGGAATAAATTTTAACCAGACGTAATGAACTTCGGGCGTCAGTTGTTCTGCTTTTACACTCTAAGCGTGCCTTGTTGGTGATGATGCGCATTTCCCCCTTTGGCCATTTTTGTAAGGCAGCTAATCAAAATTGGACTAATCACAACCCTCTTCAATCCCTTTTTACCAATCCAATCCACAGATCGGAGCCACTTGTTGCGTGGTTAGTATTCTACGAAAACTGGCAGCTCTTGACTGCGCCGTCCAGGAAAAAGCGACTGTCGTTATATTAGTGAGAGAGACAGTGCTGACCCTTTCACGCTGGAGTGAATTGGGTAATTGGCTACCGAGGCGCCTCGCTAAATGGTGATTTGTAATCGACCAAATTCACAGAAATAAGGGACTTAACAAAATATTCAGGAGGGAGAAAAAAAAAGAATACCATTTAAATCTATTGGAGCTCTTCTGACATTCACACATCCGGGAACATCCTCTCCGTCCCTTGAAATCTCTAACGTGAATGACAGATTTCGTTGACTGAAACTCCTGTATTATTGTCATCATCTTGCACTAACGTCAGTGGATCAACAATACTTTGTTTTGCACCTGGCTTTGCCGGCCGGATAAGTCCCTTTTTTGAAACTTGTAGCGGTTGGTGGCAGGGGTCACTGTACTTTATCCGTTTCTAGGGTTAGAAATCGCTCAAGTGCCAACTCAAGTAAAGAATGACTCAGAAATCTATTTTGATAACTTGGTCTTCTTAGGAAATTGAATAACAGAAGTTAAGTTTGGATACACAAATGTGACAGTAAAATTTATGGCGTGCAAAGTTAACATTTATTCCCGGAATAGAGATATCTCTATTTCTATTGCGGAAGAGATATCTGTATTACGTTCCTGCTTCTGAGGTCAGCAGGTCGTCCTCAACGTTCTCTTTAAAAAGTCTGTTATCTTGAGGCTCAGTGAAACTTTGTGCGTTACGATACAATGACCTTTCCGTTAACACAGTGTGCGTGACCTCAAACATAATAGAGATATCTCTATTAATCAAAACCGGACGTACACTTATTAGGAATAGAAATATTTCTATTAGGAATAGAGATATCTCTATTCATAATAGAGATATCGGATTAAATGGTAAGCTTGCACGCCGTACAAATGCTGCACGTGGAAATATGTCACTCCTTCTCCATTTATCTCTTGTTTTGAGTCGTAGAGTTGGAAAGGTTTGGAAACGTTACCTTAAAAACATTCCATCTATTATTGAATCCTCCCACTGCACAGCTAAATGCCATACTCATCCTAGTAGCACATTGTTGCCATTGATGGTTTCATAAACAGCCACACACGCTGGGTGCATTTGCGTGGTTACTCCTGTTAACACGAGTAGGATGCGTGCGCATTACACTCGGGTACAGGAGTATACTCCCCCTCTAAACGAGAGTTTCGCCGACCCTCGGGTCGTACTCCAGCCGTTCGAGCGCTCAGGAGTATACTCGTGTTAAAGGGAGTACCTCGCTCGAACGCACCTTATGAGTGCTCTCCTCCTCCAACATCGCCAAGCTCCACCCTCCCCCCACATTATGGAACCCATCGGTTGGCATGATCAGGCTTACTGGCTACGTTGTCTCAGAGACAGTTTCCGACTTTACACAATCCATCATGGGCGTCGATCGTTCTTAAAAGCGGGGGAGGGGTAGGGTCGGTGAGGGCTGGCACCCGAGGCCTTTTGTGGTTAAATCAAGCCAACGCTCTAAGGGAAGAACCTGCTTCCGTCCCCTGGGGAATAATCGTCACTCGAAGTATTACTGCAGCCAATCCTATGTTAAAACTGTTGGAAGGTTTAACATCTATATCTTCCATGATATCAACCAATTGAGTGATCAGTCAATCTGAAAAAATAGATAAATTTATTATGTTGATCAAGTAATTCTACAATCTATCATATGCAACACCCACACTCCCGTCAAATCAAATCAAAACTACAGAAATTTTAATTTATTTTTGGAGCTGGAAAAAAGACTCTCTCCCCTCGTCCCTCGGGAAGCGCGGAATGTCTTTGCTTCGCTGTAATTGGTCAAAAAGTCAGCGCGTTGACGCCCCAGGTGTTTCCATTGTTCTTCCGCACACAGGACGACGACGGCTTAGCTCCGTGCGCACGTACGTACATGTACGTGTCATGTATGGTAGTGACGCACAGCGCATAAACTTCATTGAAACATGGCGGCTCACTATGAGTTTCATTGCATGGACGTCAGGTACAGACGAAGAGACGGAGAGAATTGAAAATTAAACCATGCACTTGTCAATTCAAGGTGAGTTGCTTTTATCCTACCAAGCAACGATAAGTTGAAAGGTCTTGCTTATAGGATTTTCAGCTAATGCTTAAGGCTACAGCGCGTAAAATGCTTTGAGTTTCATTATGATTATGAAGCCTAACCCAAATACTTTAGATGACTCATCATGCCTTTCATTTTTTGTGTTAAGAACCTGCCTGCTTTGTATTGCGTTGCAGTGTCTTAGAAACTGAATTTCTGTATGTATTAATTACCACATGAGAATCGAACGTTTTGATCGTGGAGCCAGTTTATAGCATTCACGAGAACGGTGTTACGTACGAAGTTGCTCGACATTGGGCCGTTAACTTGGGCAGCCATATTTAGAAAACAACAAACCATAGCCTAGGCCGTGCAAAAGGTAGTTATAATGAGACTTATGTCCCTGTGCAAAGCATTTCGGCCAATGAAAGTGGGGTTAAGCTGAGTTTTCCAGAGTGCTGGTCTTTTTCAAAGACGCGTTCCGCCATTTCTCATACAATTTATTCAGCATGCCAGCACTTTCGTGCAAGGAGGTTGCGTCAGTACTTAATGTTTCAGTAAACCAAAGAAACTGTTTTAACAGTTTGGGTACGTTCACGTTCGCGCTTTCAAACTACAGCATAAATACGAAATTGATTTAGTAGTTTCAAATTAGCACATACTTTTTCTGGAGACTGCTGTCGTGTTCTGCCGCTTTTATCTCGACGGCATGTTTGTCTTTTGTCAGCACTTGCGGTAGTAATTTACACGTGTACAGTTTCAATTGATTGTCACGATAATGGAGTTCAGTACATGGAGAATACCTCTTAAACGGCTGCATTGATTTCAACTCTGTCAGTGGTACACCGCGTACGGCCCTCCCCAGTGTACAACCGTCACAGTTTATGATGTACATATTATGAGTGAATCTATTCGAGGGACCAGTTGAAGTCATAGGTGCAGTAACCTATTCCTCTCCATTGAATTAAATTAAAAGGATATTCATTTCCTTAGGAGTAATCATGTCCATGTCATGGAGCAGCGTACAAATCCCTTCCGGGCAGGGCAAAGTAGACCGTCCGGGTAGAGTCGTCTGCAGCAGTCATTTTTATTAGATCGACTTTCCCTTTCTATGGTTTTGGACCTGTGGCCCAGACATCATCATGTTCCACGCGCTTGCGGGCAGACGTCGTGCTCAACCTCCCCATCCGGCCCGAGGAGAGAATCATGGTTAGGTAGATTTACAACGAAATCGAGAACAACTGCCAGCTAAAAAATGGCATTTCACAAACAGGCGAGAGAGCAAGGCGAGAGTTGATTGCTTTAGCGAAAAGTATTGTCTCATTTATTTTAATTTGGAATTCCAGACGTTGGAATATCAAATTAAGATACTGGAGTACATTTTCATCAAGACCTATTCGTTACAATATAAGAGCGTTCACGTCATCCTATTCCGTGCAGGAACGCAATGCAGTTGATTAATACTTGATCATCATCTTAATTTTAAAACAGGGACATTTTGTTTGTCCTCATTGTGTATCTTATATTGCAGTGGCTTGAAAGCGAATTATTAAAAAAACACCGTCTGCAAGTTGTACCTCAGATGAATGAAGTGCTGCAACACTGTACAGCGGTATATAAGAGGATGTCGCATTCTTTATCAGTTGTAAAACAGGTTTTGTCGGTCTCTCTCCAGTTTGCCCATTAACTGCGCCCGGCGGCGTAATATTGAACCGAGTGTATTTTTACAGATTAGGTCGCGTGATTTGGGGTTTATTGTTTCCATTGAATTGATTGAAGGGTTTTGTGTTTTCCTGACAAGTAATCAATATTCACCCAATTCAGAACCATCTTTCATTTTTTTTCACTTTATTGATTGTGTTTACTCAAACTGTGCAGTGGAACAAAATTAGATGTCGGAAAGGCCTGCCCATTTCGAATTGTCCGGCAGCTCAACTCAAGAAACTCATGGACATTCAGACTGTATGCATACTACCAGACGGCACGCATTCTGGTGGCATCTGTCCGACTTTCAATCACAAAAACATAGCTCTAGGTCTAGCGGCCTAAAGAACTGGGCTGAATAATTATTTTAAGTGATCTTACATGCCCCAACACCTAGTTGTGGTTTTCCTGACTTTTTTTTTACTCAAATGGAGGAAAGTCGGTTTCCTGAAAGTTTCCATGAAAAAATGTGTAGTTACAAAGACTTTTCCCTATACACGCTATAACGTACTCTAAATAATTCAGTTGATTCGCAGAGATTATTAATAACATAAATTTCCCTTTCCACTTTAAAGAGCAGCAGTTTTATATATTGGGTTCTGGAAGGTATCTTTTAAAGTGTCCATCGGTATGCTATTACTTGTACTTGGTAACACATTTTGTGAACCTTTGCATAATTATAATGTTAAACAAGGCACACGTATGTTCACCCCTTCCGTTTAGTTTGTGCGCATGTGCTAAAATTTGGCAAAGTTGTGGTCACGTTCTGTTGCTTGTTACAAAGGAACGGTGTCCCGCGTCGCCTTGCTCGAAATCCACAATAAAGTGATCGAGTGCGCATGCGCTAACTCTCAACTACGTGGTGCACGAAGGCATGAGAGTGAACATTTCGTGGGCAAGCCCCTGTGTTGAGCTATATCTGCACAGATTTGCCCAAATTCGGGATATTTTCTTTCGTAAATTTGGCCTCTCGGGTGATGCCTTGTTCTCTCCGTCTATGGCCATCTCCAGTGAGTAAGGTTTATCACAAACATTTTCAATAAGGAAATTTTTGGTTCACATTTGAACAGAAAGCCCCTAAGATGAACAACGTTTTCCCGTAATTAGATCTATAGTAAAGATTGCGGTAACACCATGTATTTATCTCTTCTTTGAGTATGTGTGGTTCTGAGAAGAACCGGGGAATAACTGGACGTTTCGAACAGTGTACTCTGTCCGTCTTCAGGAGACTGTTCGAAACGTAGAGTTATTCGAATTCCTCGGTTC